TTCCTCGCAAATCTCATGGGCTGGATAACGAGCGAAAGTTAAGACAACATTTGCCCATTGATTGAAAGGGCCACTTTCTCGGGACTGTAACAAAACGCCCTGTCTCGCCAAAGCAGCAGCGATTTGGACGGGATTAACCGAAGTTTGCCGATGTTTGGCGAACGTGCCGTTCCGTAATGCTACATCAACAGAACTGGCCAAACTCGGAGCTCTAATGAAAAGAAAAGAGGCTGTGATTTTCAGAAAATACGGCGCGGATCTTCTTCCGGGTGTGCAAATAGAGTGATTTCAGCATATTGGGCTAGAAATATTAATCCGCGTTTGTTCGCCATAAGAGCCAATGATGGCTTGGGGTCCCGCGGAAGAGCAAGAAAGGTGGAGGACGTTTACTCTTGTGAGTTTCCGTTGATGTTAGCTTTAAGATGATAGCTCCCTTTTCTTATGTCCTATCAGTTCGGGGCCTTTGACTTCCGGTGAGCCGAACGAAGCGGTAATTGAAAGAAGGGAAAGAACCCCGTAGAAGGACTCGAGATTAGAAAACTCTCAAGAAAAAAAAAGAAAGAAATTAAAAGATCGCAGATGGGAAACGAATCAAATTGGGAGCTACTTTTCAGTCCTGGGAATCTCAGTTTCTTTCTTTTCAGGGTTTCTCCAACTAATGTTTTAAATGTCAATAAAGTTTTCAAATAACCGATAACAGAAAGACAATTGCCTATGATTTACATTGAATCTATTGAAAAGCTTTTTTCATTTATACATCTATTGTGCTCTGTTCAGAAAATTGTTGGCCATGATCAAATAGACAAAAAATATATAATTGCTTTTCTTTTATGAATAATCATGACATTATGAATCTTTTATGCGTTGTTTTGGAGAGTGGTTTTTTTCTTCTTCTTTTTTTCTTTAAATTAAATTGAATTGACTCTAATGTCGGTTTTACTTTTGCGTTAAATTGAGATTGAGAAAACCCATTGTATATTTGACAAACACTTTTATTTATGTTATGTTTTTCATCTGGTCAAAGATAGACGG